GGGTCGGCCCGAGTAAAGTGACCTTGACCGGGAGCGAACTGCCTCAAACTTTGAAACAAATGACACCATGCACACACACCAACCCTGCCTGAGCTCAGAAATGCCCTCTGGCCTGACTTTCTGGGAGACATCTTTAGGGCCGCGGGACCTTTAAGTGCAAGGCTGCCCTGCCGACCAGCTGTGGACTTAGGGTTGTTGTTGTTGTTATGTGCCTTATGTTACGTCGTCAAGTCGGATCCGATTCAGAGCAACCCCTCCTTGGGTTTCCGAGGCAGTATCACTACGGAGTAGATTGCCCACCCCTCCTTCCCAGGAGTGGCTGGTGGGTTTGAACTGCCAGCCTTCTAATTAGCAGTCAAGCGCCTTAGACACTACGGGTTACCTAAACCTTCTTTTTTCATACATATAATACATCAAACCCAGTTGAGCACTTCCTTTAAGCTAGCACCAAAATCCAAACCGAACCCACTGCCATCAAGTGAATTCCGACTCATAATGACCCTAGAGGACAGCGTAGTACTTAGCCTCTAGGGTTTCGAAGACTACAGATCTTTATGGAAGCAGACTGTCTCATCTTTCAGCAGCTGGTGGGTTTGAACAGCTGACCTTGTGGTTAGCAGCTGAATGCTTTAACCACTGCTTCACTGGAGCTGCTTATGGTGTTAGGCACTGGGGGATAAAATGGAGAACAAAACAGACATGGGTTCTGCTTTCCTCTAGATAATAGTCTAGGGAATGACAAATATTAAACAAGAAAATATACTATATGAGGTCCGGTGGCTTAGTGCCTTAAGTATTTGACTGCTAATCAGAAGGCTGGCAGTTCAAACCCACCAGCTGCTCCGCAGGGAGAAGATTAGGCAATCTACTTCAGAAAAGATTTACAGCCTTGGAAACCCAATGGGGGTCGCTATGAATCAGAATCTACTCTGGGTGGTGGTTAGTTAGGAGATGGGAGTCCCTCAGTGCTACAAACATTTAACACACTTGGCTGCTAACCAAAAGGTTGGGGGGTTGAGTCCACCCAGAGGCACGTCGAAGGAAAGGTCTGGAATCTCCTTCTGAAAAATTGGTCACTGAAAACCCTACGCAGCACAGCTCTACTCTGACTCACATGAGGTCACCAGGAATTGGAGTCAACTCATTACAACTGGTTCCATTTGGCTTTTAGTCCAGGGGGAAACAGTAAGGAGCTTGGACCTATATCTGGAAAGAAATGGCCTAATACAAGCTACAATCAGGAAGAAGGATCAAGCCAACTTGGTGAAAAATTAGACATCTTCACCTATTAATGCAAATAACAACACCTACCTTAAGAGTGCAGATAAGATTCCACGAGGTCATTTATGTGAAGCTAAGGCATGGAATCGCACACAGCAGCAGCAATAGAACGGCCATTTTATTGTAGATGTTTCCTATGAGATATCAGCTTGTTGGAGGCCACACAGCACATCGACAGCTTCTGTCCTCCCAGCCCAATGCTCTTTATCATACTTCGTAATACTTCACCTTCCCAGTTTTCATAGAAGGTCATACAAGAAGTGGCCATTTCTGTATCTTTTCCAAAAATTGGTCAAAGATCTTATACCCAATACCCCTGATATAAGGGGCATCGAGGAACATTGGTGGCACAGTGGTTAAAGCATTTAGCAGCTAACCAAAAGGTCAGCAGTTCAAAGCCGCCAGCTGCTCCATGGACAGTCTGCTTAAAGATTTACAGCCTTGGAAACCCTATGTTGTTGTTGTTGCTATGTGCCGTTGAGTCGGACCCGACTCATAACAACCCTTCCTTGGGTTTCCGAGGTGGTATCACTACGGAAGTAGATTGCCCAACCTTCCTTGAGGAATGGCTGGTGGAAACCCTATGGGGCAGTTCTACTCTGTCCTATAGGGTCCCTATAGATCGGAATTGACTCAATGGAAGTGGATTTTGTCTGTCTTGGTTTGGGGAGCATCGGGATGAATTCCATCTAGAAGCAGGTGCCTGGAATCATCTCAAGCTGAGAGTGAAGTTGGTGCCCTTCCACAGAGCCTAGGCTCCACCCTCCAGTGCTCCAGAATCCTTGCCTGTTTTCTCTTCCCAGCTGGCATCCTGCCTGGTAAATGCAGACAGGTGTCAGAGCCTTCATCATCCTTACCCTTCTCTCAGCCCCTGAAGCCACAGAAGAGAACCCAGTGCCAGAGTGTGAGTGCAGAGATCTTGTGGGCCCTGCCTGACCAAATCCTGTCTTGCAAGAAATCAGCAGGGACGCACAGGATGGACTTGGAGTTCCAGGCACATGAGCCTTGCATTATCCTTGACTCCACAAACTTTCAAACAGAGTGTATCTCCTTTTTTTTTTTCCTCACAAAATCCCGAGAGGAAAAGAGGGTAGCAGTTAAACTCTGACACACAGAAAAGAACTAACCACCTTTAGAGAAGAGGTTTCACTTTGCTGGGCTCTGGGTCCCCCACGTCTGGCATTGGCACCAGCACCAGACTCCCTAGGAGTTCACTAATTTACATATAACCTAACTTACATATAAAACTCACTCTTTTAAAGTATACGAGTCTTTAGTATATTCACAAGTTGGTGGAATACCACCACTAATTCCAGACCATTTCTACCACCCGTATCCACCAGCAGTCACCCTCACCTCCCTCTGCAATTAAACTGATTAATTCCTGATGAAACAATTTTACCAGTGCTCTTAGAAAAGTATTAGCTAGTGATACTGCCTCGGAAACCCAAAGAGGAGTTGCTATGAGTCGGGTCCGACTTGACAGCACATAACAACAACAATACTTATTGAGCATAAAGCTAAATGCTTTGGATACCTTCTCAAATGTATCTTTCACACCATCCTGCAAGGTAAGTTTTATTTCCATTTCACAGATGACTAAGCTGAGGCTTCTGTAGACTAAGGAACTTAGGCAAGGATGTGCAGCTAGTAAAGGAAAGGAGCTGGACCTTGAACCGAGGTAGATCCATGACCCTAATGCCAGGGAATCCCTTAGTAGGGCAGCATCCTTACGGGTGCCAGAGATTACTGAGCAGGTAAATGGGAGCATCTCGATTCTAACACAGATCTACTGGCTCTGGCCCTGGGGGAGACCAAGGGGTAAGTAGAGAGCACTCCAGCCCAACCAGGGCAGGGTGACCTGGGCAGGGGCTTGGGAAGGCCAAGGAAGCCTTCATGGAGTTGCTGGGCCTGGATGGATGAGGATTCCAGTCGGCAAGTTGGTAGGAAGGACTTTAAAAAGCACAGTACAAACATGAAGCTAGAAGGAAAAACAGCATGATATGGGGTGGCCTAAAATAGAATTCTTCAAGGCACTCTCTCTGCTTAGAATTAGTCCCCCAACCAAAGTGCCATTCAGTCCATCAGTGATACTGCACTCCCATTTTTTGAGGGCTCAGCCTGTATATGCAGGAGGCTGGACAAGCAGTGCCCATTCCTGACTTGAAGGGTTGGTCTTAGCTCCCTGGGGGGCTGTCCTGGCCTCATTCACCTTGAGACTCCAGCCAATCCTGGGGCCTAGCACAGCCAGTGGCATCACTATGGGGCTGCAGGAGGTGGTGATACCAAAATGATCCCAGGGTCTGGCAGCAGTGGCAGTGACAGCTACAGGTTGCCCAGTACCACAGGGGGAAAGGCCACCAACACAACAGCTTCACTAGGGTTGTCACCCATCATCCAGTGCAGTGACTTGTTACCACTCCTCCCACCCTACCTCTGTTCCCCTACCACGTCACCCACCAGCCAGGGTGCAGGCAGAGAGGAAGGTCTTCACTTTGGCCAACAGGAGAATGGAGGAGCTGCAGGGAGGAGGCTGGGAGAGGCCACTCTATCTACCAGGGAGATGACACCGTGAGTTACAGCATGAGCTGACATCAACTCTAGTGATGCCACTGAGGCCTATGGCATCTAGTGACACCTAGTAGTCTAGTGACACCAGAGTGGCACATTGCAGGCACCCTGCCACCACTTGCTCACAAACCAAGAGCACCACCTTCTGGGACCTGCAAGCCTCACCCAGTGCCGACTGGTGCTATGACCATTGCATAGGGTCACTCTGGCCTGCAGTATCCAGTGAGAGCACACCTGCTGAGAAAGCAGAACAGGAAAGGTCTATTTCTTTGCCTGGCACTTGCCTATCACAGACCCAAATCTTGAAAAGAAAAAGAATCTATTTTAGTATGGAGCTTCTCCCACAGATCTGTTTATTCCCAATCCCCAACTAGACACATTCTACTTCCCTAAGATCCCTGAGGCCCAGCTGGAGGGCTGGAAAATTAAGGCATTGTGCCAGAGTTCCACCAAGAGTCAGGGACACCTAAAATATGAAGACCCAGGAGTCCTGACTTCAGGGCCTCCACCTCCCCGCAGGTCTGGGAGAACTGGGAGGGAGGATCCCATTTCCTTCTCTGGTCATCAGCGCAGGGCTTGTCTCCTGACATCTTCTGAGGAAGCCAGGTCATCTCTATCAGACTGAGAGGCAGAGTGAGAGGAACCAAGGTCCCAGTATAGCAGTGGCTCCAGGCAGAGAGTGGTGGTCAGGAGACAGGGAACAAATGCAAAATCCTGGCTGGGCCTCCCTACCAGCCAGCTTCTGTCTGTCCATCAGGGTCAGAGTCACAGTGATGGGCTCCCCAGAAGAGAAAATAACACAGCTGTGCCTAGTGCCAGGAAGATCGAGAGATAAGGGCTCAGGGAAGCACCCCTAATGGGCTGCCAGCTATGGGAAGGGAGCACAGGTGGGGAGCATGGGCGGCTCAGGGACCTGTGGGGCTGAAGAGAAGCTTGTTCCAGACTCCAGAGTTCAGGCTGCAATCAGCAGAAACACCCATCACCTGAACAAGGTGGGTCGTGATAAAGGCGGTGGGGTGGGGTGTGCCATCTGGGCATGCCCTGTCAGGAGCTGGACCCTGGATCCTGAGGCTGCCATCACCATCACCTCAATGCCACGTCCCAAGGCAGAGAAGGATCACTTTTCTCTCCAAAGGGGTGAAGTGGCCTCAGAGCTTGCTTCTGAGGGTCTTTGTCAGGGGCCTCTGCAGCCGCCACACCACCTGAACTGGCTCGGTGGCACCGTCCAGCTGGCGGAGGCCACACAGGTCACCGGTCTCACTGTACTGCTGCAAGGCTGGCTGGAGCACCGTGATGGGAATGCTAAAGTTCAAGTGGGGGTAGGTGGCCCCCGTGTTATTGTCCCGGGTGTTGCTGGCGACGATGCCTGTTAAGGAGTCAGAAAAAAGAAATGAGGATGTGAGCAGGGGGACAGACCAATAGGGAAGGGAGGATGACGATGTCTACCATGGAGCTGCCAGGACCCAGTCAATGACAGACATGTTTGTGCTGTGCTTTTTAAAGTCCTTCCCTGCCACCTTGCCAACTGGAATCCTTCTCATTCATCCAGGCCCAGCAACTACATGAAGGCTTCCTTGGCTGTCCCAAGCCCCAGGTCACCCTGCCCTGGTCAGGCTGGTGTGCTCTGTAATCACTCCGAGTGGGTGGTGAGGGCCAGAGCACATGCCCAGTAGATCTGCATTAGAATTGAGATGCTCACACGTGCCCGCTCAGTAACCTCTGGCACCCTAGGGATGCTGCCCTGCTAAGGGATACCCTAGTTTGAGGGTCATGGATCTACTCAGTTCAACACACTAAACCCCTCCCCACTCTATTTTCTCCTAAACACTATCACCACCTGACACATTAGGTGCATCACTTGTGTTATCTTCCTCTCCAACTAGTGTCAGCTCCATGAGGGCAAGACTTTTGGTGTTTGATTCATGTTGTCTTTGCAGTGCCTAGAACAGTGCATGGCACAGAGTAGGTACTTAACAAATCGTGTTGAATGAGTGAATGAATGAATCAAACTTACAGACAAGTCTTGTTTGGCGTGTGTGTGTGTGTGTTTAGGTATCTTTCAAGAGGTAATTTTAACAGAAACCCTACAAAAGAGTTCAGGAGCTGGATGGCCTGAAAACCTCGGCTAACTACTTCCTGGGCATAAAGCCCACCAATCTTCCAGACATGAGTCACTCCCAGGACTGGATACCAAGTACTCCCTATGTGGGACTAAGGGCTGGCAAGGGAAGGGTTGGGGGAGACCAAGGAACTGGTTACCCAGGAGGTCCCCTGAGTTGGTGGAGAAGAGAGGTCCTCCACTGGAGCCGCCGTGCACAGCACACGTGGTCTGTAGCATCACCGGCTTGTCATCCACATGCACCACAGCTGACAGGATGCCCGAGGTCACTGAGGGCCCGCAAGCCTGGCCAAAGACGCCGAAGCCCACCACGCTGACAGCCTCACCTGGCAGGAAGGGAAGGACACTGAAGCTCCCCAGCCTCCAGCTCCCTGCTCTGTGAAAGTCAAAAACCTCTCTGCCCTCCAAGTTTCTGCTCAGGTCCCTTAAGGAATAGGCTGGGCCCTCCACCGAGCTCTTAGCACTTCATCTACTCAATGACTTCCACTGAGCTTTAGGCTGTTGGAGCCATGCCCTTGTTACCCTGCTAGATGGTATAGCCATTTTGGGGAGTTCCTAACACCTAGCTTGGAGTCCTCAATGGTACAGACGGTTAATGTACTCAGCTCCAAACCAAAAGGTTAGAAGTTTGACTCCAGTGAAAAGCACATCAGAAAAAACGCTCGGTGATACAGCCTAGTTCAAGCCTGGCATACTTGGGGTCACCATGAGTCAGAACCAAATTGGCAGCATCTGGTTAGCACCTAGCCAGCCACTCCTTGGATGGAAGCTGGGGCAATCTACTTCCATAGAGATACCTCGGAAACCCAAGGAGGAGTCACTATGAGTCCAATCAACCTGATGGCAGCGTTTTTGTTTTTTTTTTTTTTACCCAGAGGTGCTTCATAAGTGTTTGTGGAATTAACATCCATCTCTTCCTGGCACTAGGAGTCTCTTGATGAGAAATGGGAATGATGACTATAAACAGTCAATGGGGATCAGTGCTTTACAGGCAACACTACATACAGTCCTCACAGTAGGAGCATTAACTCCATTTTACAGACATGGAAACGGAGGCAGCAAACAGTTGCACAGCAAGTCTAAGGACACAGGACTAGTAAGTGACAGAGCAGAAATGCCAACTGAAAGGGCCTGTACTCTCCCTCTCCATCACCAGATCACATGGCTTTCAAGTGAGAACTCTGGTATGTATGTGGTGGCATGACTAAGCCTTTCACCTAGACCATGCCATTGGTGCCCCCAAAGTGCTACCCACCTCTCTGACCAGCACCCCCACATCACAGGGCTGCAGACCATCAGAGAGAAGATGATGTGAAGTGCCTTACACTTCACAGGTACTGCACCTACCCCACCTAGCACCCTGCAATGGGATGGGCATGCTTGGCAGCTGCAGGAAGGGCTTCCAAGGACAACCCCAGCCAACACACTGTAACCAGCATGACGTCATGCCAGCTTGATGCCACCATGACTCGCTTATTCAGCTGAGGTGGGGAAAGGAGCTGGCCTGGGGAACTGGCCTCCTAATCTGGCAGGGTCAGAGCACCCAACACTGACCTCCTTTCCCAAGGTCCATCCCACACAGAGGAGCCCCCTTCAGCCTGTGCCACCTTTGTCTGTTACCTTCATGGAAGTGCTTAGCAGGAACAGGCATGGGGACACCGTCCAGGCCCTTCTCCAGGCTCACCACCGCTATGTCATAGGGAGACATCTCCTGGGTAGCAAACACCACATGTCCCCAGATGGCAGCACTCCTGGGAGCAAGGGGAAAAAAATGACAGGCTTTCTGACCTTTAGTGTTCCCAATTAGGGGGCCAGGAGATGGACAAGGAAATAAGGGAATGACAATAAAAGTTATGGACTTGGGACTGCCCGGCAAGATGGTGGACTAGGCAGAAAGACTACACAGACCCTCTTCAACAAAGAAAAGGGAAACCAATTAACACAGACACAGAAGATAATCCTGGACCCCT